CCTGTCATCGTAGGGTCTGCTTCCCTGACCTCTGATCATGCGCGTGGCTCTTCTCTGGACTCTCTCAAGCTTCTCCACATCCTTTTTGAATTGTGGAGCCCAAAACTGGACACAGTACTCCAGCTGCGGCCTCACTAAGGCCGAGTACAGGGGGAGAATGACGTCCCGGGATTTGCTTGAGAAGCATCTATGGATGCAAGCCAGATGAGTGAAGACATTTTTTTTCCCACGGACAAGTAACAAGGGCACACCTTGTGTTGTTGCTACTTGTCCCCGGGGAATGCCCATGCTACATGTGGCAGGTTAATGTGGGTGGGCGCATGCACACATGCAAGCACTTGTGCCTGCAGCAGCTCAAATAGAAGCAGTGCAAATTTGAGCCGGGGCTTTTTGCCTCAGAGCACATGCTTGGACATGCACTTTGTTGTGGAGCAAATTGTGCCACTTGGGGCAAAATAACCAATTGGCCAGTTTCTCCAAGAGGCGATCATGGGACACCAGATCGAAGGCTTTTTTGAAGTCAAGATATATGACATCAATCTCTTCTCCCTTGTCCAGGTGATAGGTCACCTGGTCGTAGAAGGAAATGAGATTGGTCAAGCAAGACCTACCCGCAACAAACCCGTGCTGGCTATCCCTTAAGATGTTGGCGTTGGCCAGTCCATTAAGGATGGCCTCTTTAATAAACTTTTCTAAGATCTTCCCCGGGATAGAAGTCAGGCTGATGGGCCTATAGTTAGCTGGATCCACTTTCCTCCCTTTCTTGAAGATAGGCACCACATTGGCCTTCTTCCAGTCTTTGGGCACTACACCAGAGCGCCAAGAGTTTTCAAAGATCCGTGCTAGAGGCTGGGCTATGATGCTCGCCAGCTCCTTGAGTACCCTGGGGTGAAGATTGTCAGGGCCAGCTGACTTGAAGGTATCCAGCTTCTCAAGATGTTCCTTCACAAAGTCAGCATTAATGGAGGGCAGGGGATCACCCTCACCCGGACTTCCCGGCCCTGTAGTGGGCATGGGCGTCCCATGGGACTGATGAAAGACCGACGCAAAGTACCTATTTAATAGGTTGGCTTTTTCCTGGGCATCAGTTGTCAGTTGCCCCATCTGGTTCAGACCTGTTTGTAGCGCAGAACTACAAACAATGACGAAGATGATGAAACTAGTGTTGCCGCATGCGTATGTTGGAAGCATGAGGGACCATGTAGGATGGTCAATGTCAATCAGACCTTGGGTGCCCAAAGGAGGGCTGTAACAGCATTCATAGATGATGTGGTCAGCCATTTAAGCTTAAGCATCACACCTGCAGCCAGCATCACTGATCAGGCCCTAAGAGTGTGTGCATGCCTTAAACTATCCAATGCCTGTTCTGAGACAATTAAGAGCAGTCCAGGCCCTGTGGGATAGCTGCCATTCTGAGGGGGCAGAAGCTGGAGTTGGGGATGAATTTCTTTAGCCACAGTTCCTGTGCAGCATATTTCTTGCTCCACTGATGGGAGGTTCATGCTGTAGGTGACATGCCACCTGTAGATTTGATGAGCTTATTGACCTGAGTGGAGAATGGGTTCTGCCAGCTTTTCGGCGGATGGTGAAGGTGATCAGCTCGTGGTCGTGGTCCACGACCACGAGCTGTGGTCATGTACCACTGTACACAGGCATAAATTACAGAAAATGGAATAAAAGAGAAAACTGCCAAGATGCCTTGAAAACAAAACACCTTAAAACACAGCTCTGAAATGCAGCTAGCTATAAGGACTGCAAGGCCACCACACACTGCCATAATATATAACACTGTAGCAGTTTGCAACTCTTGGATTTTACATTTTCTGAAAACTAGGTTTTTTATTCATTGTTAGAATGTTGTACCTACCCGGTTTGTTACCATGCTACATAAGTAATAACAGCAACGTAATGTACGATTAATAAACTAAAAAAAAATCAATCACCAAATCCAATAACAGAAAGATCCCCCTACTGCATTCACAGTAGGTGGTAAACACAACAGGATTAAACCCTGGATTCAGATAATAGCCCCTCACCCCAAGAACAAACAGTTAGCTAGTGTAGAGCAACATTGTTCCATTGACTTTGATGTAGCAATGCGAATTTTTACCAGCAGAATATCTGACTCTAGATGTGCTAGGAACAAAAACAACGTGAAAGAGGGAAACAGTAGGAACACTGTAGTGTACAGTAAGAAGAAATTTAATTTTGTATTAGTAAGGAAAGCACAACTTTGAATGCACATTCTAATACTAATATTCTTGGGTTGTTTTCTAATTAAAGGATATTTTGAGCCTCAGCGTTCTGGAGGAGGTCAGGATGAAGTTTAGGATTCTGCAGGACATCCAAACACTGGACTGTATTCAATGTGTAATTCTAATAATATTTTAAACTAATTTAATTATTACTAATCGCCCTGGATTTGTTCATGGCACTCTGTCTTACATGTCTTACTCATAGCAGTACTCCCATTTCCTGCAACTGGATGGATCACACAAAGTTTGCAAGATCAGGTCCCACAGGTGCCTACCATCCCTGTGGAGGCTCCTCTGTAAAATGACTAGCTGGGTTGCCAAAGATCAGTGCGACTGATGACTATATAGAGCAGGGGCAGGCAATTCTTTTGGCTGGAGGGCTGCTTAAGGAGTTATGGTGAGCTGTCAAGGTGTCCTGCCCCTGGTTGCTGTCTTGGGATGAGAAGTCCTGCCCCCTAACCCCTGACCTTTGCCATCAGGAGTACTCCTTTTGGGAAGGGGGTTTGCCAGCTTGAAACCAGAAAAAAACCCAAATGATATACATCAATAAAAATCAAACACTGATAATAACATAGTTTAATTTGATTTTTTAAAAATATTTTTGTCCGTGTGTGTGTGTGTGTGTGTGGTGGAGGGTGTTGGGGCACATGTTGATGTGGGTGAGTGTAAACTGCAGCCAGGTAAAGTTGAATGGGTGGCATACCAAGCACTGAAGGTTTGTTTCCCACTACTAATCCCCTGACCCATAAAGTTTCATTAAAATATAAAAAATGGCTTGCCACTTTCCTTTTGAAGAAGATTTAAAAACTGAGGCTGGTTGTTGAAAGCATGCCTAGCTTCATCCTGTAGTCAGTAAGAGGAACAGGCACTCTTCCCTTAGCAGGCTAATGTCCTGAGTGCAGGCATCTTGTGCTTTATGTTAATAATCCACCGTTATTTAATTTAATCCTGGTCAAGTGAACATGATTGTGACTTTATTAGTAAGATGCTGCTAAGACTTTTTTTACATTGAAAATCTTAATTTTGTACAGTACATTCTGGCTTAAACAACCATTCAAGTGGGCAAAAACCATCAATGCCATACCGATGATGGCCTTGTTATTAAGGGGACACAGAAGTGTATTAATTTACCACTTAACTCTGCCAAATTAAAAGTGATTGGGAAAAATGATTAGGATTAATTAGTTAATGTGCTTTAGATAACTCTCACCTAATCTCGACCTTTTCCCTTGCATAGACACATGCATGTGACAGCCTGGGGACTCTGTCTGTACAATTTACAAATCCTCTGTTTTTATGAAGAAATGTCTTTAGCAAACCAAAATGTCTTTACCTTTTCTGTTGTCCTTTCACTTTTGTGTTGAGCTAGAACCCAAAAGGGTAGTTTTAGCTGCAGAGTTATTCAAATGGAAAGGGGTTCTTCTATTCAAATATAGCATTATAATAGGGAGTTCCCAACAAGGAAAACTGGCTTATATCAGGAGAGAGATTATCTTGGAAATTAATTGGAAATGCTTCTCACATTTTTCCTGGACCATCCAGGCTAAAACACTAACTTGGAAATTAAGTCATGGCATATCTATGGATCATCTGATGGGAACTAACAAGGGACTCACCTGACTGAGGGGAGGTTATAAAAGAGCAAGATCTGGGTTGTTTGCTCTCTAGCTATTTTTTCAGCTCAGGTTGAGGAGGAGCTGCTACCCCAGGAACCTAATGGCAGGGGAAACCCCTCCTGCTGATGACAAATAGACCTCCCAGGGATTGCTAGAGGCAGGGTGAGCCAGCATGAGGGGCCCTGCCTTTAGGATGGATATTTTCTAATGATTTGTCCTTTGTTGTACTTTTTTTCTGTCAAGTACAGAGCTGTGCTGTGTTGAGAAATTCTTTGCAAAGTCTATTTGTATGTAACTTAATTACTTATGCCTATGATGAGGCTACTGAAGACTTAAGCTGTGCACCAGAAAACTCACTCTTTTGGTATGATTCTGGGGAACTGTGTAGTTAAGCTATAGGGGGAGTCTGAATGCATAGGCATACAGACAATTTACCCTAGGGGAAAAAGGGTGGGGTTTACTGTATGAAAGCTGTTTTGTGGGAATTCCCTTTGTGCATCCTCTTGCTTTGTGATAAGTGGAAGCTAAACCATAACAATGTAGCTCCCAGTGGAAGACAGGTAAATTGTCACTTCCCACCAACTGCAAAGTGGTTCACAGTGTATACAAGGAAAACTCCAGCTTCACTTTCTCCTCTGGCACCAGTGTTCATAGAGAGGATTTCTAACTGCTGTCAGGGCACAGAGTATGTGGGGAGTCAGGATTTAGCAACTAGAGAGCTCAGATCTGAATTAACTGTAGGTTGCAGGGAACCTTTTTGCATGTTTGTTTGTAAGAATTTTCTTTTGTTTTTATATAGGCATAATTTTATTCCTGTTGAAAAAAGCCCTGCTGCTAAATATACTTTTATTCTTACTGATTAGCTCTGTCTGCTGATGGGCCCCACATACAGGTTCCATGTGTATAAGGCTATTGCTTTTCATGCCTGAAGCAATTGCAATTTTCAAATAAATGACTTGTTACAGCTTGATTATTGGTCAGAGGAAGAGTTGAAAAAATTGAACTAGTCCACATACAGAGATTGCCAGAGGCATTTTGCCTTTGGACTTCAGGGTGAAGTAGGAGGAGTATGCTGTAGGACTGCCTTTGTTCCCTTTTTGGAAGTACGGCATGCAGTTCCTTCTAACAAATAACCATAGACTGTCCACTGGAGCACAGAAAAGGACAGGTAATTGCATGTACATTTTTACTACCTTACCACATGCTCTTGCACTTCTGGCAACGCTGTAATTGCCTTGCTCCTGAGGAGTGCAAGCTGTGGAATCCAAGTTGCAGCTGCTCTTACAGCTGTGTAAGGGCATACTGGATACTATCCCTGGTGTGTGGACCTATGCTAGAGCCTGCCAACACCTGGAGGACAGGCATTTGAATTGAGGCACCTTTCATTTTCTAGAGAGAGGGAGAACCATTTCAAGGACAACTTGGGACTGCCATGGGTATTTAGATAAAGATATATAGGGTTGCCTTATTTCCAGTTCTAAAAAAAAAGGACACCTGTTGGGGGAACACCTCATTTCCCACCCACAGTTCCCCCTCACTCCCAACCTGCAGCCCCCATCCCTGCTGTTGATCCTTGCTCCTGACCCACAGTCCCTGCCCCCCTCGGGCCATGCTAGTGCCCCTCACTCCTGGCCTGCAGGCCCTGTCCCTGCCAGTGCCCCTCACTCTCAATCTGTAGCCCCCTGCTCCCCCCAGCACTACCAGGGGGCCCCCAGCTGTCCCCATCTTCACCAGGCCAGAGTGCAGTGGCTCCAATTCATGTGGGTAATGGCAGAATGAGTCCAGCCCCAGTGTGGGTGGAAGGGAAGAGGGGGTGCTGGTGATGTCCATATATGTGTGCAGATGCATGTGTGCCTGCTGCCTCTAATCGCCCTCCCCCTGCTTCTGCCAGCAGAGCAGTTAACATCCTGGACATTGGTTCAGACTTAAAAAAAATGCCTGGATGGAAATTGGAGGGTCTGAAAAGAGGACATGTCCAGGAAAACCCGGACGTATGGTAACCCTAGAGATAACCCATGCCAAAACAGCACTAGTATCCCTTCGGGAGTGCCTGTAGGGAGAGAACAAATACCAGCAGGAGAGGGCTGTAGAGAGAAAATATTAACCTTGTACGACGAAGTTGTTAGAGACTCAGTCACCTAAAGGAATTCCTGTACTCCAGCACATGCACATATTTCCTGATTGCTCCCAAAAATGGATACATGCTGGCATGTGCCACCACACCCTGGGGCTAGAGCAGTGCATTCAGACCCATCACCTGCTGAGGAGGAAGAAGGGCAGGCAAACAATATACTTCTATCACATTCTTCTGCTAGGAGGAAGGCAGAAGAAATGTTATTTCCCAGAATATCAGGTGGGTTTTAAAACAGTGGAGAGTAATACAATCTCAACATTACATAACCTCAAAAGTAATGATCAATATGTCTTTAAATAATTACCCTGCAAGACTTGTTTCTAATTGTTATGAAACAGAGAAAGAATCAGATGACATTAAATGATGATATTTAATTAACTCAGTATTCCGCTGCAGCTATGGGCTGCTGGGAAACCCTTTTGTTGTAATTTGTTCCTTCCCATATCAAAATGTACTATCTTAATGAGATATATTCTAGTAATGATTGTGTGTATAGTCTCTCCTTGAGTGGAAGACATTTTCCTTTTAGTTTAAGGTGGAGGCCTGTGTATGTAGAGGCATAGGCCCTTTATGCACAGCTTTGTGCTCTCAAAATACTTCACATTTTACTGCAGTTACCTGAAAACCCAGACACTAATATGGCTAAAATTTTCCCTTCCATTTTTT